GTCAAGATAAAAATGGGGAGGAGGAGCCATGTATGCCCCCATGAGCTCCTTCCAGGAAATACATCATTTGTTGCGGTGGGCTAAGTGTCTCCAATGGGCCGTAGGGTCCAGAATCTTTGTCCAATCTGCAACACAAAGCAGAGACAGCTCAAACTGTTGTACAGTTCAGCCAAGGTAGGTGATGTTGTTTAGAGATAAAGTGGTACCTCGGGTTAAGAACTTAATTCGTTCTGGAGGTCCATTCTTAACCTGAAACTGTTCTTAACCTGAAGCACCACTTTAGCTAATGGGGCCTCCCGCTGCCGCCGTGCGATTTCTGTTCTCATCCTGAAGCAAAGTTCTTAACCTGAGGTACTATTTCTGGGTTAGCGGAGTCTGTAACCTGAAGTGTATGTAACCTGAAGCGTATGTAACCTGAGGTACCACTGTATAGAGATCTGTGTTTCTGAGTGGGGAATAAGGTGTGAAATTAACAGACTTGCAATGTGCAACAACAAATCCAATTAAACTGGACGGGTAACAGGCAGGCTGGTTGGCAGCCTGTGTCATAACTTGATGGTGCCAGAAGGGGAGGACTTCAAGAGCAAGGCCACGGCGCTGCTGTATAAACAGATGATGCCAGGGGGAGCTGTGCTGCAGGGAGTGATATATGTTGGGGAAATGCCCGTTTTGTCACTGCGGCTGCTGGAAAGTACTGGCTCCAAACAGCCCCATGTGATGGAATGAGGTGCCTGAGGTGTAAACTAAACCTGATGCCTCAAGCACTTTGCAGCCACTAAATATGTTAAAGAATGCAACCTGATAATTCAGAGCTGATCCAAGGGTACTAAATCAAACATGCCGGTAGTGGGAAAGGAGACAGCCAAAATGTTGAATCAGAACTTTATGTCTCTGGTATGATCCCAGGCCAGCCCAGTGCTGGAGTCGATAATAACTTTCCATCGTTTTGTACACTACTGGTGTTTGGGGTTTGTTCTGTTGCCCTGTAGGCAATGGCGTGTTTGAGCTGAATTGTCCTGCAACCTGTGCTCTTCTAAAAGGAACATGGAAGATGGATGACTAACAGGGCAAATGAGGAATCCATCATAAACAGAAATAGAAAGAACCCCTTTGCAAAAGAGGCTTGTCAGCCTGTTAGGAACACAGGAGGGGGCCTTATTTCAGACTATTGAGCCATTAAGGTCAGTACAGTCTACACTGACTTTCAGTGGCTCTCCAGGAAATCAGAAAGGGATCTCTCCCAGCCCTAACTGGAAATGTCACAAATTGAACCTGCGACCTTCTGCAAACATGCTCTACCACTGAGCTACAGCCCTTCCTCTATTCCCCTCACTCTCTGTTGGGGCATTCATGTCTTTAGCAGAAGTTGACCAGCAGAAATTCAACAGGTGTGGCCTACTAAACATCTTCCAAGACAACAATGCCCATTTACACCACAAAGAACTCATAACCCACCTACTTTCAGCAGCCAGAAACACAATAACTAGACACTGGAAAGACCTGTCAGGAGTAAGCATGGACCAATGGTACCAAATAGTATGGGAAACAGCCCTACTTAAAAAATTAACCAATAAACTGAAACTAACATGGGGACAAGCAGAAGAAGATGCCTTTACCCCGGTATGGCTCCCCTTTATCACATACACAGCCCAACAAGACAACGACAATAATCCACCAACAGCATACAAATCAATAGGGCTAACCTGATCCAAAACACCCACCCACCCCACTCACACATGAAAACAAAGACTACCACAGCCAATCACAAACAAACAACCACATCCTAGGCCAACCCCAACCTCTCTCACCACCAAAGGAACACAAGTGAACAGCACAAGCAACGCTGACACCAAACCCTACATACATTAAGCAAAATAGAAACATCGCCAACCGACCCCACCCCCACCCATCTTCCCTCCCTCCACCCCTTCTTTTTTTCCCCTCCCCCTAATGTCTCAACAAATGAAACGGATTTGTAAAAATGTTACATGGAAAAAATTTGAGAGACATTACACTTACTTCTGTAAAACAAGAAAATCTTTAATAAAATTTAAAAAACCCAACAGGTGTGGCTTTGGGTAGCATAGAGATCCCTTGATGTAAAAAAAGCTTCCTATGGTGAATTTCTGCCTGTCATTCATTTATCAATGAAAGCCACAACAAGGGGAAAATTGGGGTGCAACTAGGGCTGACTGTGGGGGGGGGGAGTCCAGCCAAAATTCACCATGGTATGTGTAGGTGGCAAAATCAGGGGTGCAGGGCAACAAATATTCCCTAGGAGAGGGTGAAATATTTCCAACACTTTAGAAGGAGCTTGAAAAACAGGGCAGGGGGAGTGGGAAAATTCTTTCCTGGAAAATTCCTGGGCACTCAGTATTGCATGAAATTCTGGTCTTTATGTTGGTGGATGAAAGAAGCTAAGAGAGGAAGAGAAGGTTAGAGCAGGGAGTCAAAGCCAAATTAGAGAAGGATCCACAGTTTATTTATTTTATGTATTTAACAAGATGCTTGCAGTTATAGGAAATAAATGAGAAAATAAAAAGAAGCTGTGCTGCGGCTATAATGGTGAGTGCCACTGCAGAGAAACTATTGGAGAACTTCTCCTCTGGAGAAGTCGTCCTTCCAGTTGCTCTGCCCACAAACAGGGTGAAGAAATTCGAGAGGCTGCTTGCCCATAGCTCTACACAGCTTGTACACAGTTTGGGACTGGAGAACTTTTCTCCAGCCAAGAACAGCATTCGCTTCTTGACAACCTTCCCAGGCCCACATGCCAGTGCTGGGTAAGACGAGGGGCGAAATGTGGGCGCTGAATGCAAATTTTACCTTGGTGCAGATGGCTAGCTTCTATGCACTGACAATAAAGGTAAGGTAAAGGGACCCCTGACCATTAGGTCCAGTCGTGGCTGACTCTGGGGTTGCGGCACTCATCTCGCTTTATTGGCCGAGGGAGCCAGCGTACAGCTTCCGGGTCATGTGGCTAGCATGACTAAGCCGCTTCTGGTGAACCAGAGCAGCGCACAGAAACGCCGTTGACCTTCCTGCCGGAGTGGTACCTATTTATCTACAGTGGTACCTCGGGTTACATACGCTTCAGGTTACATACGCAGGTTACAGACTCCGCTAACCCAGAAATAGTGCTTCAGGTTAAGAACTTTGCTTCAGGATGAGAACAGAAATCATGCTCCAGTGGCGTGGCGGCAGCGGGAGGCCCCATTAGCTAAAGTGGTGCTTCAGGTTAAGAACAGTTTCAGGTTAAGAACGGACCTCCGGAACGAATTAAGTTCTTAACCCGAGGTACCACTGTACTTGCACTTTGACGTGCTTTTGAACTGCTAGCTTGGCAGCAGCAGGGACTGAGCAATGGGAGCTCACCCTGTCACGGGGATTCGAACCGCCGACCTTCTGATCGGCAAGTCCTAGGCTCTGTGGTTTAACCCACAGCACCACCTGCGTCCCATGCACTTACAATAGAAGAAGCAATATCATGTCCTCCAAGTCTCCCTCTTTTCAAGTGACAGTCCTGGAATGATGAAAGCTCTTCCGGCTTCTGATTTGACCCAGAATGTCCCTATTAGCTCCACCAGTCAGGGACATAGGAAGGGGGGGGTGCGGTGGGGGCAGTCCGCCCCGGGTGTTATCCCAGAGGGGGTGACAAAATCCCCCCCTGGGTGGGTCGCCGATGCACTAATCGCCCCATGGGAAGATTGCCCCACCCCCGTGGGTGGATCACCCCGTCCCCATGGGGGGGGCCACCCTGCCCCCAGGTGCACAGCATGTGTGCTGCTCTGGGTGCCAGAGCAGGTAGCTCCGCCGCTACCACCAGTGCCACCACCACTGAGCTTGGGGAGAAGGAGAAAACAGTGTTTGTATTGAACGGTGGTGGCGGCGGCAGTGCATGGGAGCATCCCGTTGTCTCTTCCTGGTCACCACTACTAGCCTCCTTTCTTGGGCAGCTCGTAGGGGCTACTGGAGAGCAGGCGAGGAGGAGGAGGAGGAGAGGCTGCTGGCAAAGCCCAGCCCCGCATGATGCACCAACTCTGAGTGGCGGGCAGAGCGCAGGGCTGCCATTGGCGGGAAGAAAGGGGGAATGTAAACTAGTACAAGAAGCCTTGATTTTTAAAATTCTTTTTGTGTCTGCGTCTAATCTTGCCCCTTTCTAACATTTATTTATCGGTGTGTAGACGGTGGAGGGCATGTGTGCTGCGTCCTGTTGGCGTAGTGGTAGTGGAAATGCAGAGGGGGTGTAAAAATGGGGGGGGGGGTCAAGGAGGGCCAGTTGGCTGGGTGGGAAATGTCCCTGTTTTCATCTGAGGATCAGAAACATCAGAGTTCAAGGATGCATTCCAGCCTAGTAACAACACTCAGGGAGGGTGCCAAGTGGGGCTGGCTGGCACCAGGGGTGGAGGAAGGGGTGTGTGGTGGGGACGGTCTGCCCCAGGTGTCACCACTGAGGGGGGGTGACAAGATGCTGGGCGGCACTCACTGTGGGGCCTGCAGCGTGCCCAAGCCACACGTCTCTCCTGGGAGTGACGTGGTGACTTGGGTTCCCGCAGGCTCCGCGATGCCCCAAACAGTCTGCCCGATGCCTCCCCCTCAGCTGTAGGGCAGCTGAGGGGGAGGAGGCAGGCAGACTCGTCAGAGGTCCCACGGAGCGTCCTGCCCCGGTTGGCCCCACCCCAGGGCACAGGGTACGCGCACTGCCCCAGGTGCCCGATCGGCTTGTTCTGCCACGGGCTGGCACTGGGTTGCCACAGTTTCAGGAGGTTCCCCATTGCTGCTCTATGTAACTCACACATGCAAAGTCACCACCTGTTACTGCATTGATAGGGCTAAACAACAACAACCTTTTCTTACCCTGACCCCTCTGTGGCTTTGTTTACCCAAAGAACGGGAAAAGTCTCAGCAGTGGATTGGCCCCAAAGTTAGGCTGCCTCATCAAATATCCTAAGAAAAAAGCACACCAAGAACTCAGGCCAATGCAAGCTTCAATAATGGGAGTGGTCCCTACTCGCAAATCAATAGTCAATAGTAACAAAAACTAATCCCTTCAAAAGTATGTATTCTGACAAGGATTACAAACTCAAATAGAGATTAAAAACTCTAACAGAGATTACATCCTCAAACTCATAAAGATACGTATAACACAATCATTCATTACAGAGTTAGAGATAAGAGTTCAATAGTAGAGATAAGTTCATTTAGTCCACAGTCAGATTCGATGTGGAGGTCTTCATAGAGGAGAAGTCAGAAGTCAGTTGTGGACTAGAAACCAGGACAGGGCCCTGTTTCGATGTATTCACCTTCATCAGCTTATTTTTAAAGGGTTGTGTAAGTTTGAAGACTTTCAGATAAATATATCCTGTTATTTTCTACGTTTCTCAGGGATAACAACTACGTGTGGGTAGATCAACGTGTATCTTGAGCCTTTCTGTCAAATATCCTGGCATTTGCACATCAGCCTGCCCTGTAAAGTGAGAGAAAGGGCAAAAATACCCTTTATGGACAAAACACGGCATAATGGACCTGTAGGAAGTCTCCTTCTTCCTTCCTTCCTTCCTTCCTTCCTTCCTTCCTTTGAGGTTACTGCTGCTATAAGCAAGTGGTATTAGCCGCGGCCGAGCTGGCCCTATTAGGAAACACTGAAAAGGTCATCATAATTAAGCACGGATTTTATTTATAAAGCACCAGCCAACTCCCATCTCCCTTGGCCAAGTCACTGGAGGCTCAGTACAGGCAGTTTAAAGGGACGATTAAAAGAAAGTCACGACAATATAGTTCACAGTCACCTTTCCTTAGCATATATTCCATGCTATTAATTAATGGATACTATCAGGGGGGCTGTTATCCCATGGCTGTCACTTTCTGATTGATGTGGGCAAAGGGAGCCCATGCGGAGAGGAGGAAGGCGAGATCTTCTAGCAAAATGGGACATCTCCATGGGCAACCTGGAGTTCATTCATCACAAATGAACAGCATCTTTAGTTAGGGCTGGAAAAGACTCTCTGCTTTAAACTCTGGACAGCTGCTGCCAATCAGTGTAGAGGATACTAAGTTAGATGGACCAATAGTCAGACTCCGTATAAGGCTACTTCCTATGATCCCAGCTCATTCTGTCCTTCAGAATCTAGACTCACATCTGCACTATACACTTAAGCAATATTATATCACTTTAAACAGTCATGTTTAAAAAATACTGGGAGCTGGAGTTTATTAAAGGTGCAGGGAGTTGACTCCTGTTCTTCTCACAAAGCTATAATTCCCAGAGTTCCCTGGGAAAGGGGGATAAACCACTCTGACAACTGCAGCTCCCTGAGGGGAATAATTTTCAGCATCCATAACAAATTACAGCTCCCAGATTTCTTTGGGGGAAGCCATGACTGCTTAAAGTGGAATAGTATTGCTTAAAATGTGTAGTACAGATGGGGACCTGGAATGCAGTAAAGAGAATCTAGAGTGCAGTAACTTCAACATAATCTTTTTTTTCTTTTTTTACTCCATCATTTTCATCTGAGTCTAAGAATGCAAGAACCAGTGCTTTTTTCCCTTAAAAAAAATGTTTAGGAGTACTCTCATTTTGACTCAAGAAAATCACCGCGAAAGGAAATGAAGCTGCCATCAGAGGTGGTAACAACAAAACTGACCAATCACTGTGCTAGATTCGAACTCCTACTTCACACATTAAACGCTCGCTTCCATCTGAGACTCAGGAAACATTGTGACAGGAAGTGAGGCTGCTACCGGGGGTAGCAACAGAACTGACGATTCACTGTGCTAGAGAAGAAACTAAAATTTTAGTTTCTTCTCCTGTTAGATTAACAAAATGTTTAGGGCTATGCATACCTCTGCATCCCCTCCCCCCGCCCCCCAAAGGCACTGGCAAGAACAATCCTGGTTCAGCCTCCCTGCTTCCCATAGTGACCAACCCATCTGTCTATCCAGCAGACCCCTCATTTTGCTTTCTCTCAGCCAGCTTCCCATCCAGACAACAGCATGTATCACCATCTCTTTGTCTCTCCACTAAGCTCCCAAGGGTATGTTAAGCCCATCGATGGACGTATTCAAGAGCACTCTTGAAATTCAAAGCCAGTGTCCTCACTTTCTTTGCCTTGAAGATGACAAATAAGCATTTCCTGGCTTGTTGTTGAAATTAGCATGAAATATCTCTTTGCTCCTCCCAGCGGGCGGCTATAACACATCCACTTCACACAGCCCGGCAAGAGTGGAATCCCTGGTGCAGGTGTCATGTTTATGACACACTGCATGGTCACCCCTATATGACATTTGCACATCACACAGTCTAGTTCCTTTCCTTCTGTTCCTCTCCCAAGTCTTTTAGAGACAGAAGCCATGGAGTAGTGGAGGAGGAACATTCACAACCAATCCAAGGCACAGTTGCACACCCAACATGATTCTCCCCACTGGATCTGTGCTCTGGCAGACACTGTGGTTGTGAAGACGACGGGACAATGTCAGCTACAGGTTTGAGCAAGCGCTTGGGCTAGAAGCTCTCCATGGACACCCTTCCCAGAGTGCCCCACCATCTCCACTTCACCACTATCGTCAGTTCCCCTAGATCAGTGGTTCTCAATCTGTGGGTCCCCAGATGTTGTTGGACTACAACTCCCATCATCCCTGACCACTGTTCATACTGGCTAGGAATGATGGGAGTTGTAGTCCAACAACATCTGGGGACCCACAGGTTGAGAATCACTGCGCCTAGATCAAAACAGCAGCACCTGTCAGAGAGAGGGAGAGGGAAGACAAGGGTCACTATGGCATTTCTTCACAAGAAACCCACAGCCAATGGCAACAGCTGGGGAGGCTATGGTGGGAAGGTAAACGATGTTACCGTGCGCTTTGGTTTCCATCCCGATGTTCCGTTGCGCCAGAAGCGGTTTAGTCCTGCTGGCCACATGACCCGGAAACCTGCCTGTGGACAAACGCCGGATCCCTCAGCCTGAAAGCGAGATGAGCGCCTCAACCCCATAGTCGCCTTTGACTGGACTTGGCCTTCCAGGGGTCCTTTACCTTACCTTTTTTTTAACCTTTAGATGGATGAACAGACAGACTCATTCTAAAGCAGGGGTAGGCAACGTGGTGCTATCCAGATGTTGTGGACATCTCCCGTCATCCGTGGTCAAAGGCCACAAGGGCACCAACATTGTTTACCTGTGGTCTAAGGCAGCTTCTGCATCCCTAGGTGAACAGGCAGTAACAACAAGGAGCAGGAGGCGAAGGAGCAGGCATTGTCAGTGGCCCCTGCTAGGACAATAGCCTCAACAAGTGTCCAGTGATATCTACCCAAGATACCAGCCTGGTGAACTGGCTCGGGAGCCTTTTAAAAACTGCAGACCTTTTTATGCACCCTCCTCGACGCGCCAGCATCATGTGGTAAGAAAGCCGAAGTGTTTTCATTCTGCTACACTCTGTGAGCCCTGTAACAGGCAAGAAGCGGAACAAGGTGTAAGTCAAGTTGACGCATACATAAAGGAATAAAACCATGAATTGTACGCCCCCCTGAATAATATCGCCAGGCGTCAAACCACTTTATGTATCTTGGGTGGTAAAGTAGGCCCTCACTCGAGGGATGGCAGGAGGAGGGCAGGTGAGGAGAGAGTCTGGGGCAGCAGACACGAAGGGATGGGCGTGAATTCTGCACGGAAGCTTCTGGTAATGGATGCCATGGTTACGGTTGCCCGAGCAACCACTGCACACATCCATTTCCCTGCACAGGAGCTGAAAGTGAATGACAATTTGGAAAGCAGCAACCCAGAAGAATCTAGGAGGCCTTAAAGAAGATTGATAGGAAAATCAATGCCTTATATATAAAAAAAGGCCAGGTGACTGATCCACCTGAAAGGAGGCTGTTTATTTGCCCAGCAAAGCCAGGAGGTTTGAGCAAAGGGATGGAGCATTAATTGCAGGCATCCCTCCTCCATCTTTGCGCCCTTCTCTGTGGCACCAGATTTTTTTTTATATATAAAAAATCACCACCCATCTATGCAATTCACTATCCGTCCCCCCCAAAAAATCCACTGCCGTGTGCATGGGCTGAGGGACCAGCCATAAACTTTTACTACCATTGGTTCTCCATTCAGGAAATAACAGGTTCATAAACAGACCAGACAGTCCAGAGCAGTCAACTTAGATTCCGAGCAGGCGCTCTCTCTCTGCAGCAGCTAAGGAGGCAATTCCGAGAAGCAGCCAGACTCACGATCCAGTCGCTCCCACCTCACCTCCCCGTTCTCCCCCAATTGCTGTTTACGAGAGGGGAGCCGTTTCTCGTAACCATCCATTTTGGAAGAGTCTGCTTGATTAAAGAATCACATTGCCAGGCACGCTTTTTGGCAGAAGGCAAAGGGAGCCACTGTTGTTTTTCTCCTCTCCTGGAACTTCTGGGGCTGGACCAGCTATTGGAAACGGAAGGGCAACATGTGGAGGAAGAGTGTGTTGTTGTTGTTGTTGTTGTGTGTGTGTGTGTGTGTGTGTGTGTGTGTGCATGGAGGGAAGGAAAGAGGGTGTGCATCTCCTCCCCCCACCCCCAACCAGCTTGCTTTCTAAACTGCACCTCTGTGCTATGTGGAGTAATATGTGAACCACACAGAATGTTTGTGGGGGGAGCCATAAAATCCCAGAGTCCAGGGACCAAGGAAAGGCTTATGAATGTTGGGGACAGGCATTTCAATTTTGATGGGACCAATCCTGATGAGTGCTTGGAGACAGCCCACGCCTGCTCAGTTATCTCTGCTTGACTGAAATGCATGGACCTGCTGGGGTACCAGAAATTAACTGGCAGCAACGTAAGGCCTGTTTTAAGCATCCTTCTTTCAGGATAGGCACTTTCCTCTAGTTGCAGAATGATCAAATTTTTTTACTATTTGTGTGGCAGTAAGCAGGGTTCAGGGACACAGAGCCTAGGACTTGCTCTGGGTTGGCGGTTCGAATCCCCATGATGGGGTGAGCTCCCGTTGCTGATGTAGACCCTCTATGGTTTGGGGAGTTTTGCCTCTAATCTACTAAGTAAGAGGTGGGACGCGGGTGGCGCTGTGAGTTAAATCACAGAGCCTAGGGCTTGCCGATTAGAAGGTCGGTGGTTCGAATCCCCACGACAGGGTGAGCTCCCGTTGCTCGGTCCCTGCTCCTGCCAACCTAGCAGTTCAAAAGCACCTCAAAGTGCAAGTAGATAAATAGGTACCGCTCCGGCGGGAAGGTAAACGGCGTTTCGGTGTGCTGCTCTTGTTCACCAGAAGTGGCTTAGTCATGCTGGCCACATGACCCGGAAGCTGTACGCCAGCTCCCTTGGCCAATAGAACGAGATAAGCGCTGCAACCCCAGAGTCGGTCACGACTGGACCTAATGGTCAGGGGTCCCTTTACCTTTACCTTTACCTTTAAGCAGGGTTCAAAAAATAAATAAATGCCCCTATGATTGCCAGGCAGAGGGAGCCTGGGAAAAACCTGGAGAGAAGGCACATAGGCAAGAAAGGAACCCCAGAGCTCAACCTTGCAGGATTATTGTGAAGACACAATGGGATGATCCTATGCATGTTGCTGTAGGCTTGTTGGAGAAAGGGAAGGGTTCAGTAATGACATAGACATAGTAAATAGATAGATAAACTTTATTTGCATTGGCCAACGGCCACAGCAACATAAAACAAGCAATTTGTTGTTGTTTAGTCGTTTAGTCGTGTCCGACTCTTCGTGACCCCATGGACCAGAGCACGCCAGGCACTCCTGTCTTCCACTGCCTCCCGCAGTTTGGTCAAACTCATGTTAGTAGCTTCAAGAACACCATCCAACCATCTCGTCCTCTGTCGTCCCCTTCTCCTTGTGCCCTCCATCTTTCCCAGCATCAGGGTTTTTTCCAGGGAGTCTTCTCTTCTCATGAGGTGGCCAAAGTATTGGAGCCTCAGCTTCAGGATCTGTCCTTCCAGTGAGCACTCAGGGCTGATTTCCTTCAGAATGGATAGGTTTGATCTTCTTGCAGTCCATGGGACTCTCAAGAGTCTCCTCCATTCAAAAGCATCAATTCTTCGGCGATCAGCCTTCTTTATGATCCAACTCTCACTTCCATACATCACTACTGGGAAAACCATAGCTTTTACTATACGGACCTTTGTTGGCAAAAAACAAGCAATATATACAATTAAAAAGACAACAATGGGTAAAAGGGGCATTCAAATGACCAAGATTATCGTTCAGATAGTGGCCCTTAATCTCACTGCACCCTCGATAAACCTAGCAACCTTTGCTGTTGTCTGATCATTTTGGTCTGATAAAAGAAAGAACAATGTGGCCTCACATGGGCGGCCTGGGATGGTAAGTAAGAGTCAGATCTTTATAAAGCGGACAGGACAGGAGAACATGAGCCACTGTTTCCAGATTGCCATCTCCACAGGGGCAGAGTCATTCCTCAGTTGGAATCTTTTGGTATCTGCCCTCAAGTACGGCAGAGGGCATCACATCCAATCTGGCCAGTGTGAAGGCACCTCTGTATTTGGTGATAGTTAATTTATACAAATATGGTGTCAGGGAATCAAACAGAGAAGGGGGGGGGAAGGCATACCAGGGGAAGCGATTCTTTATAATGGCCAGATTGTTCTGTTGCTCTAAGCCCTTCAGACGCTGTCCAATTAGCCTTTTTGCTTTAATAAAGCCAATTGTGAGAAGCTGATGTGGGTGGAGTCCACAGGAGAGGAATTTTTGGTGCACAATTTTAGACCATAGCTAGCTATAAAATTCCTAGTTTTCGCAAAGAGTTAAATTGACAGTCCTTGTAGGCAGTAGGGTTGGGAGAGAAGCTTGATTCAGTTCTCATTCAAGGCAAACCAATGTAATTTGCCCCTCCCCAAATGATATGTTAACCAAAGCACAGCCACCCTTCGACGCTTGCACTTCTCCAGGCCAGCAACTTTACTAAATGTACAAAAAAATGCATATGCTACAGTAAAGTATGAATAAATTAGTGAAAATAACATGTAGAGGCCTCTATAGCTCAGTCAGTAAAGCATCAGACTTTTAATCTCAGGGTTGTGGGTTTGAGCCCCACCTTGCGTGAAAGAAATGGAGCTTTGAGTGTCTTCGGCCCAGTTGTGTGGAACCCCCTGCCAATGGAGAATCAACAGGCACCTTCTGCGCCAGCTTCTAAACCCCTGCTGAAAACTTTTCTATCAAGTAAATATCTTTCCACCATGGTTAACTGATATCAGTTTCTAAGTTTTTAACATGGTTTTTATCATAGTTTTATGTTCTATCGCTGTAAAACATTTATATATATACCGGTATATATATATACCGGTATATATATATATTTCTATGACTTTGAGGTATATAAATATTAATAAATAATAAATAAACAGCCCACCCCCAACATAAACAGCCACCAATGAACAGTGCAAATTATGTGTTTGTTTGGATGTGTATGTGTGTCTTTTTGCATTCATTTCTTCTTGTTCCTTTATCAAATTGGGGTGGTTGGCGAGGAGAAATCATATGTCATAGAACACAGAAAACTGTAAAACTGTAAAACTTCAAGCTTCTCCCCCCCAACTCTTCTCTTCTTCTTCTTCTTCTTCTTCTTCTTCTTCTTCTTCTTCTTCTTCTTCTTTTTGCAATGTTCAGCTAGTATGCGAGGAAATGAGATTCATCCCACCAGTCAAAACAAGAGCGAGAAAGAGAGAGAATGCATACACCGAGTCCCCTTAGAAAATGAAAACGTGATAGAGAAAGAAATCCATTAAAATAGTTTGATTTTTATTTCCATTCCGGGTCATTAAATCAGCAACGGGTCAGCTGCCTGAGCGTTATTAGAGCAAAAAAGCTTTTACTCTGGATAGGAGAATCATCCCACAAACAGCAATATTGTCAGATTATCTTTGTGACAAATGAACAGTGATTAATGACATGGGAGGTCTGCTTCAGCTCTTAACAGGCTGCGGAGACAAGGCAGCAATAGCAGTGGAGGCTTAGTCGTTGTGGAAGTATGGCTGTCCGTCACTAAGTGTTGCCAACTAGGGTGAATTTCAACGTTCTCCTCAATTGTCAGAGCAAGAGAATGACCTGCTGGAAGGATGGGAGGGGAGCAGGTAGAATTGTGTGCTGCCATTTGTATACTTTTTGATACGCTGGTGCACCCTCCACATCGCGAGAGACGCTCTTTCCTTGCATCGTGGATGCCTATCATGCAATTAAAAACATTCAGTTGATTAATCATTGACCTTTTAACAGATTAATCTATTATATTCAAGTAGTTTTGCTTATTATTGAAATCTCAATATAGTACAATATAGGTACAGATTGGGGGAAAAAGCATGCAATAAATTGCATGGATAATAAAACCTTTCACTTGACATTCAAGGGAAAAATCTTTTCCTTTCTGCCAACACGAAAATGGTCTCTCAAAACCCGCATGTGTCCCCTGAATTTGCAGTCCGTCCAAAATTGGCCCTCGCCAATTAATCAACTAGTGCTTTAGCTGCTGGTTGATCAATCTACTATATACGCTGGTTACAGTTTTCAGCCCTAATTTATATGCCCATCAGAGGGAGGAGACATTCTGCATATGGTTAGAAGTACTGCATTCTGAGGTCCATTGTAGAAGCAACAACAGATTCCCTTCCCAAAGGAAAGGCACTCTGCAGATGCTTGAGAGCACTCAACTCTAGCCAACCCCTGTAAACCATGTTGATTGACAGACGCCTAAGTTGACTGTCCCAATTTGCAGGATGGTTGGATTGCTGGAAACAGCGCTGAAGAAACACTCCCAATTCCTATCCTTGCGGTGTCCTGGGGAGGGTGTTTGTTACTCATATGGTGCTGGGAGGACCTTGTGTGATTCAGTTCTGAATGGTCATTAGAAGCAACTCATCACAGAGCATTAGGGAGCAGGAAAGACACCATTTATGCTGTGACATAGCATGGGGGGAGGCCACAGAAACAGAAATGCTAGGGTGCAAGGTTTCAACACCCAGTGCTGCCTCACTGGGTGCTGTTGCTGGGCTCTGTTGAAAACAACTTCTCCATGCAAACCAGGAAGTGACCTCTCCAGACAATGGAATGACTCTTCTTATCTCTGCAGCTGCAATCTCCTGGGTGATGCAGACGTTGTTAGGCAGCTGGATTTGCATGTGTACTACGTCTGTTTCCCTCCCCAAACCCCCCTCTGTGCAATCCCAGGCACCGGCAACCCACGATACACCACTGCGTTAGTTTTATGTGTTTGCTGCTTCCCTGAGCAGTGGGAGCTTTCAAGACCAACATTACCAGGATTTGGCTTCCTTGGGAGGAAAGGGTACAGGAGACGCCATATTTTTCGGTGTATAAGACAAGGGGTTTTTTTCAAAAAATTATGCGAAAAATTTGGGCTCGTCTTATACACGGATCGTGGAGAGGTGGGACAGGCGATTGTCAGCGGCGTTTTTGTGGATGATTGGCCGACGGTTGGTGCTTGCTTTCAGCGAGGTAGCAGGAGGGGGGAAGCTCAACAACTCTGGGCAATCTCCCCCCATTTTCTCTATTTGGAGTCCCAAAATGGGAGTCTTAAATATGGGGGGGGGTTATACACGAAAAAATACGGTATATAGTCTTTACTTTTTTGTAATATTTTGTTTGGTTACAGTAGAGCATACAAAGTGTCAAGAAGCTGTTAGAATTCCTGCTCCATGATTGCAGTCATGGAATTGTTGTCTTTCACTTAACAGTATATGTTTTGACTCCACAGAGTGGGAAGTGACAGAAACAGGATGTTTGTGTTACTGTGTTCCATGAAATGGGACTATTGTCCTTTGTTCTTTTTCTCTTTGCTGTCTGATCCTAGAGAGAGAGAGGGAGCCATGTTGCTGTGCTCCGTGTGTGTTTATATGTAAATAAAGTAGATTAGCCAAAATGCTGAGTTGCTGAGGTCTGTTATGCATGATGCACAAACTCTGCGGATCCCTAAGTGTGCCAGTGTCGGTTGGTATCGGTCGCTGTGCTGTTCGGGCTGAAGAAAGCTTTTGAAGCTCCCAAACGACCAGGAGGGAGAGAACATGCCAGTCGGGCATGTGTCTCTATCAGGGTCCTACTAGAGTGTAGGCTGAGCTCCTGACAGAAGCATATGCATGTTCAGTGAAGGCCACCAACTCGGATGGTTTTAAAAGAGGAATGGACAAATTCATGGCAGATATCAGAGGCAACTAACCATAACGGCTGCGTTTTGCCTCTGCTGTCAAAGGCAGTTTGCCTCTAAATGCAAGTTGCTGAGAATCGCAAGAGGGCAGAGTGCTGCTGGACTCAGATCCTGCCTTTGGGCTTCCAACAAGCATCTGGTTGGGCACTGTGAAAACAGGAGGCTGGACTGAATGGGCCTCTGGCGTAATCCAGCAGGGATCTTCTTTTCCTCTTATTCCTGTCAGGAAGCAGAGCCCCATCAGATTCTAAGAAAGAGATGCCTCCAGTTACTCACAAGGTGCATTCAGCAGCTCACAGCTAACATAGAATTATAGAACTGTAGAGTCAGAAGGAACCCCCAGGGTCATCTAGTCCAACCCCCTGCTATGTAGGAATCTCAGCTAAAGCATCCATGGCAAATGGCCATTCAACCTTTGCTTTAAAACCTTGAATGAAGGAGAGTCCACAGCCTCATGAGGGAGACCATTCCACCGTTGAACAGCTCTTACTGTCAGAAAGTTCTTCCTGATGTTTAGTTGGAATCTCCTTTCTTGTAACTTGAAGCCATTGGTTCAAGTTCTACCCTCCAGAGCAGGAGAAGACAAGCTTGTCCCCTCTTCCATGTGACAGCCCTTGAGATATTTGAAGATGGCTATCATATGTGCTGGAGGAGACTCTCAAGAGTCCCATGGACCCATAGATCAAACCTATCCATTCTGAAGGAAATCAGCCCTGAGTCCTCACTGGAAAGACAGATCCTGAAGCTGAGGCTACAATACTTTGGCCACCTCATGAGAAGAGAAGACTCCCTGGAAAAGACCTTGATGTTGGGAAAGATTGAGGGCACAAGGAGAAGAGGACAACAGAAGACGAGATGGTTAGACAGTGTTCTCAAAGCTACCAGCATGCATTTGACCAAATTGTGGGAGGCAGTGGAAGACAGAAGTGCCTGGCGTGCTCTGGTCCATGGGGTCATGAAGAGTAGGACACGACTAAACCACTAAACAACAACAACAACAACAACAACAACAAATCATATGTCCTGTCAGTCTCCTCTTTTCCATGCTAAACATACACAGCTCCTTCAACCGTTCCTCATATGGCTTGGTTTCCAGACCCTTGCTCATTTTGGCTGCCCTCCTCTGAACACGTTCCAACTTGTCAACAACTTTCTAAAATTGTGGTGCCCAGAATTGGACACAGTATTCCATTCTGCCTCCCTGTTTTTCTCCCCAAACTCCTGTTTCTTCTCTCTTTCCCCTCCCCACCCTTTCTATCAGCCCCCTCCCTAGCAAGGACGGGAGAAATGCAGCAGTGTAGCGTGGGTTGCCGGCACCCGGGGCAGTCAAGCTGCTGACACCACCAGAGTGCTCCACCAACAGAGCCAAGTGGGTCCACGCTGCACTGCCTGACTTCCTACCTACCTGCCTGCACAGGGGGGAGCCTGGCTGGCCGACACAGCCCTTGGCAGGTGAATCCTCCCAACGCCCACGGAGAGAAGTTCCGGGTCATGCTGTGCTGGGGTCATCCCTTGGGCACCTCCCTCTGTCACACACACACTCCATGGGCCTGGGCTGCTCTCCTGCAGACCCCATCCCTGCAGAAGCTGGCACCTGGGAGGGTGCCTCGCATCCCTTCAGAATTTTGCACCCAGGGCCATGGCGCCCTAGCGCACACCCCCCACTTTGCCACTAGATAAATGTGTCACTCTGTGATGGCCTAGGATTCGGACTCAGAGGCTGAACCTGAGGAATCCCAGCCTGCACAGGAGTCCCCGCCTCCAGAACCAGCTGAGCCAGGGCTGGGGCTTGAGCCTGAAGGGTCCTCACCTGTGCTGGATCCTCAGGTGCAGGCACCAGCTGAGTCTGCTCTGGCTCTGGAGGTGATCAAGGACCCATTGCCTGCAGGTGCTCCT